GCTGAGGCCGGGCTAGCGTGAGCGGAAGCCCCGGCTTAGCGTGAGCTGAGGCCGGGCAAGAGTGAGGTGAGGTGCCGGGATCGAGAACGGCGGTCCCGGCGGATCCGACGAAGGAGCGGTGAAAACAGTGAAAGCCGATCCGGCGATCCACAGCACTAAGTTGATGTATTTCCTCAGCGACCAGCACGGATCAGCTCTAGGCATGACGAAGCGGATATCGTCCTCTTTTGGAAGACCAAACAAAGTAGTTTCGCTTTCACAACGAAGCACACAGCGTCTTCACGACATGGCTGCAGCGGCAACAATACTACAGTGAGAATAAAAGTTACGCCTTCTTTCTTTGCGTGAACATTTGGGCGGCGTTATGCAAATCTTCCCACATAGTGAGGTAGATATGTGGGGGCGTGTTCGAACGAGCCGTTTTAGGTAGGTGTGGCTGACTCTTAACTTTTATAAAGAATATCTCTTTGGATTTGAGACTTTAGTCTTTGCAAATTTACAGATCTTCTTTATGCACCAAGAGCTTGTAACACTCCAAAGAGAAAGGAAAAAATGAAATTGCATCATATGACCCCTTTAATGTTATATTGCCAAACCTATTGAACACTGTTGCCTACAACATTCAGAACCCACTGCTAGAGTAAACAAACTTTTTTTGCAATTGGACTTTGGAATTGAAAGCTGGTAGTTACTGAGATACAGCCCCTGTGACAACTAGCCCCTGTCTACCCTATGTCTGTGTATGGCTTGCCATTCATTTTGCTTTAATGCCAAACATTTTATAAAGTACGAGAAACTAAGATTTTTATTTTTTTTTTTGGACAGAAGCAAAGCAATGAGCATATATGTGGAGTTAATGTCATCAATCCAACTTATTTGTCAAAATACTCAACATTAGAAGATAATGCAGTGTTCAAGATACATTTAAAACAATTACCTGTTTTACTTTTCCAGAGCAAACCATACAGTGCAGGCATTCATGGATATAGTTGGTGGCCCATTCAATCATCTGGTTCCCAGTGACCAGTTGGATGATTCCTTACTGCTCGGACAGAACCTGGAATGTGAAGCTAGTGATGAGTTTGAAGCAGGTCACGGCCAACCTGAAAATTCACTGAAGAACATGCTCAGTGATAAAGATCCCATGTTTGGATCTGCTAGCGCCCAGTTTCATCTCTTAGAAAATGAAGATGTCAGTTTTAAGCTTGGGAGCACAACAGGTACAGTAGTTGCTTTTGAAGTTTGTTTGTGCTTTAATTTAGAAGAAGGTTTGTAATTTAACTACTTTGTGTGTTTTGCAGCTGCAGATAATGACATGACAACAGCAGGTGTTAGTCAGAGTCCATCTGATGGAGAACACAGTCAGTCCAGCTTCTCACAGGGCAGAAGACATTTACAGAGGAGACAAACAGGTACACATAACAAAATGGACACAGCTGGATTGCTTTGAATCTGCTTGCAATAAAGGTTCAGAAGTAACCCTAATTAGTTCACTGATTGTTTGCAGCTGTCCAACATTTTTTGTCTTTTTGTTAAAGCTATTAGTTTTTTTTAAGCAATTTACTAGTTAAATCAATTTCTTACAATAAAATTAAAATACAATTTTAAATATGTAAACTTGTCAATTTGAATATATATATATATATTAGTTACTAATAGTTTAAAGTGCCCCTATTATGCCATTTTTACAGTTCCTAATATTGTTTTGGGAGTCTCCTACAATAGGATTACATGCATGCAAGGTCAAAAAAACGCTTTCGTTTTCTCAAAATATGCATTTAATATCACCTCATTTTCCAGCGATTCTCAAACGATTCGTTAGAAGCAGTTCAAAGATTCAGTCTCTCTAAACCCCTCCTTTCTGTGAGCCTGCTCTGCTCTGATTGGTCAGATGGCCCAGTCTGTTGTGATTGGTCTACGGCGTACAGCGCGTTTCAGAAACGATACGCCTATTTTAGTAGTTCTGTATTTTGAACGCTCTATAGAAAATATAAACATCTATTATTTATCATACTTACAGGTTGTGATTCAGTGGAGCAGCTGGTCCAAATAAACAGGATACTGATCCATCTTTCAACAGCAAGTGTTTTGTGAATCCCACGTTGAACTCCCCGAGATTAGAGAAGCAGTCGTCAGTAGAATGACATGTTTGTGGGTGGGGTCAAGTTGTTCAGAGTCGATTCTTTATTTTGGAAGACAATAACTTTATTTATCGTGCTGTTTCAGCTTTACAACTTTGCAGATCGTTTACATTCACAATACAGCTACATTACACACTGCATGAAATGGCATAATAAGGGCACTTTAAAAATATTAGGACGTTTATTCAAGATGTTTAATGTTTTTTCGCTAGACAATGATTAGGGATGTTCATTTCGGTTATTTTTCCTAATCGACAACTGATGCTCGTTAACCGATTATTAACCGTTAACCGACAAGATTATTTTAAATTAGAAAGGATACGTGTCTGTGAACCATTAAAAATACTAACATTTGTTTTCCCGATATTAATTTTACATGCGCAAAAAGCAGCAAACAACAGAACAGGAGTAATCACATGGTCATATCATATCACATCAGGGGAACTAAAATAGCCTAGCTATGTTTACAGTGTTTATTATAATGTTTATAAACATTTTGTGTCGGCATTAGGCCTATATAATAAAATGCGACTTATACTCATTTTTTTTCTTCTTCTAAAAAACAAAAAATAGCCTAGCTATGTTTACAGTGTTTATTATAATGTTTGTAAACATTTTGTGTCTGCATTAGGCCTATTTCTGAATTAAATAATAAAATGCGACTTATATGCAACTTTTTTTTTTCCTCTCTAAACATTTTTTTTTTATATACGCATAGCATATTTTGACCATGCAGCAAACCTTTTTAAATATTTTGATAAATTACTGAAAAAATTAAAATTTATAAATGACTTTTTAAACCATTTAACTGATCGTATTAATCGGTCAAAAATTCTTACGGTCGGTTAACCGTTTAAAATGAACATTCCTAACAGTGATACATGTAGAATAAATATTGCACTGAGCCACCAAAATGCTGAACGAAATCACAAAGGGTCTTCATGTTTTTGTGACAGGTAGCTTTCTCACTGTATAAGACGCTGCGAGTGACTTGCACTGTTTGGACAAAAAAAATATACATATATTATTTTGTAACTGATACGGAACTTAATAGGTAGCCAGTGCAGAGACTATAAAATATATTTTAATAAAAAATATTTTCCCAGTTCACCCTCCTTTTGGGCTCCTTTGATATGGTTTAAATGTCTGTATTGAGATATTAATAGAGCGTAAGGATTATTTGGTTTAAAGTCTTATTAAACCAATATTTTTGCCCATTTGCTGGGTTTGACTGCTCATCTGTTCTGTTTTGCCACTTTGAGAGTATTGAAACCATTTTTCTCTCTCAGCAAGCCGCGGTCGAGTTAAAGGCAGGCGCCCAGGTCCTGTGCGAAAAGCAGCAGAGAGTAACAAGCAAGAGTCAACATGTAGCACAAACCCGGGTGGAGATAAAAGCCTTGATGCAAAAAGAGAAGCCCTGCTCAGCCGTCGTTTTGGAGTCCATGAGGTCGACTCCTCTATGAATCCAGTAGTTGTGTTACGTCGATTAACTGTTACTGTCGGGGGCTATAAAATCGAACTGCTTCCTGGCCCGTCGCATGCGTTTGGATCATTTAGCACAAGCGCTCTTCAGTCTCTTGGCTTCCAGGATGACGGTGTCGCTGCTGACGGCCTTGCACTCGATTTGGGACAAAATCAAGATGATGGCACACAAGAAGTTGTTAATTCTGCACAAGAGGTTGTCGGGGAAGTGAGCGTTGGCCAGTCAACTAGTGATGACATGCCTATGGATTTTGGGCCGTATGTGAACCCTAATGAAGTACAAGACACTAACAGCAGCACCATGTCGCTCAAGCCCAGCGTGGAAAACGCCACACCAGCAGACGCCAAAAAGAATGACCAAATCAAGACCCGAAAGCTAAGTGCACAAAAAACAGGGAACAAGAACGGCACGGCAGTTCAACCTGCAGTCAAAAAGCTTCTGAAACACAAACAGGCTCTGTCTGCTGCCAAAAATAAACCATCTCATCTCACCTGGCCAGGGCTCTTGCAGAAAGTATCTAGACATCCCAGAGACAAAAAGATACATACAGGCCGCCCAGAAAGTCTCAAAGGAAAGCCCGTTAAGGTTGGCTTGAAACGCCCAGGTGGGCCAGTCACTCCTAAATCACCCTCAAAAATACAAAAGATTCAAGATGGACATCCTGCGAACCAAACCGTAAACCCACCTGTCCCGGTGTCCCCGACTGTCAGCAGAAAACTGTCATCTGATTCTGGTCCAGGTGTCAAGTCAGTCCAATCCCCTCACCCTTCGAAAAAGCCACAAAATCCTCCCACTCCTGTAAACAAAACAAACCCACCTGTGACAAACAGCCAAGGAGAAGAGGAGCAGGAGAAGGTCAAGATCAAGAAGCCGGAGAAGATTCAGCAAAGACACAAGAGTAGAAACTCCAGGAGTATCTCGATAGAGGAGCCGCAGCTGTTTATCCCTGATAATGCCCCTGTGGTGAAGAAGGAAGCCGAGGGCGAGCCTCCTCCTGAAAGTGAGACTGTGTGGGATCCCAGCAAGCACTGTGGATTATGCAAGAAACCTCACAACAACCGGTATGTCAACTTTTATCTCTAAATTCATTCAAATGGTCATAGGTCAATACATTTATTTCTGTATAATTTTAAAGATGTTTAATTGAGCATGCTAATTTGACCTGTTTTTAGATCTAGATCACCTTTGCCATTATCTAACACAATGCATTCTACCAAATTAGAAATAACGTGGCTTGGCAAACGATATGTTTGGATAATGGCTTCCTCTGGCATTGCAAATAAATTAGTTAAGTAGAAAACGATCTCTCCCTTCTACCACATGCTCTATGTTCTCTGCAGTGCTCCTCCTGGCAGCAGCAATCGCAGCCATGTCAAATGCAATAATGGGTTTAGACATACTTTTTTGGGCAGTAAATAATGGCGCAAATACCAGTAAATTGACTACCGCAAAACTTGGTAAATCATGCTGCGTGATTCATTTAAATAGTCTCCTCCCATAAATTTTGCGCCTGAAAGGGAAACTCCTACAAATGCATATGTAGTAAGGTCAGCTGCAAAAATGACCTTTTCACTGCACATCTTTAGTAAATCTGAAATGCACATCTCTAGTATTTAATGCCAAAAGAGGGTTTGTGCCGGTGCAAGCTGTTAGTAAATCTGGGCCTTAATCTTTATAAACACTAATCATTTAATAACCCTGTTAAATGCAATCTTTAGTAAATCTCAAAATGAATACCCATTGTTCATACTCTACATTATATAAAGTTGTGGTACCTAAATTAATTTGTAGCCATTAAAATATGGCAATAATCTGTGTTTTATTGTGTTTAGACAATATGTACTTAAATACCAGAAACATTAGAAAAAAGGGTTATTAGCTAGAATTTTAATGTTTATGAAGCTCTTAAGGTCTGTTAAATCAGAGCAGAAAGTCAAGGCATATATGTTGTATGTTTTGGTTTTCCAATGCAGAAATCTAAACATCCTTAAATCAAGATGCATTTACTTGAGATGCAAACTGATCATATGAAGTCGTTTTCTGTGAAACTGAACAAAATTGAGTTTATGCCTGTAATAAGAACAAACCTCTTGCCAAAGGGGTATTTTTTTTTCCTTTGAATTATTTTGATTTTGCATCCATTGGCATTTGCTTTTGTTTTAGTTATAAACTTACTTTGTGTTGACCAGTCTCTCATAAATCATGACTGAAAGTACATGTATCTTGATTTAAGAATCTTTAGATATTTTCAATGGAAAATAAGACAAAAATACTGCTGAGCGGTTAAGAGCAGAGCTATTCAAACCTATTTTTAAAAATTTTTTGTCAAATGAAAAAGTAATGGAGATCTGTTGGAAGATCTGTTGTAACTTTGAGGTGTTGCTAATACAACTCTGTGTGGTGCCTAGACATTTAGAGACCAAATTGACGTATTGGTACCTTCAATTAATTGCTTAAATGTTCTTTACTTGGTCTTAAAAAGCCATTTACATTTACCTTCATAAAACCTGCAGAAACCCTAATAAATTGGTAGTAAGAAAAGCCTCAAAAGCGATGGGCTGAAGACAGACCTGTGCTGTTGTCTGTTGTTTGATTAGGTTCATGGTGGGCTGCGGCCGCTGTGATGACTGGTTTCATGGGGATTGTGTGGGTCTGGATCTGGCTAAAGTTCAGCAGATGGAAAAGGAGGACCAGGAGTATATGTGCTTGAAGTGCTGTGCGGAAGAGGATGGGAAAACCGGTGCTCAAGCCACAGAGCAGTCAGATGATAAGTTGTCTGCTAAGCAAAAACCGAGACCCCAGCAGTCGGTCACCGCAGGTGGAATACGACCCTTCCGAAAAGTAAGCAAACAAGTCATCCTGTAGTAGACTGCAAAATAATGTGATTACATGCATAGTCGATAAAAATATATACATTTGTCAACATAAAAATCAAGAGTTAAAGAAGGTATTTATTAAGTTGTTTTAATTATTTTACTTGTATAGTGTTATGTAACTGACATACATGAAAGTAAAGACGTTAAGCAATAACTTTCACTCTAATCGTGTCAAATCTTGAGTTTGTGCCTGAAATTGTTGTGAAGACCAGAGGCTGCTAATTAATATTAGCGTGTCATTGCCTCAAATCAGATTAATCAAAGGGCTAAAATATTACAATTGGACTTCAAGGGGAAAAATAATAGAAATTGACAATTTGACCCTTTTAATTAGAAAGAACATGGGATCTGATTTGTCCTATATCAACCTAGTGCAAAAACAAAAGTTGTTTTTCTTTGAAGCATTAAAGTATTTGATGATTGCTTATGGCAGATTTACATATATATATTTTATTCTGCCCTTTCTGATTTAGCTTTTGAGTGCTAGCCACCAGCTTTCTTTAAAAGGGTTTGTACATATCTGCTTTTCTATATTATTAACACATGGGTGTAAAGGGGTTAGTTAGAGTTAGTTTGCACAGTGTTCCTCACAGGTGTGTTGCTGTGTTCACATGGATAGGTGTGTTACACACTCCGACTACCAATGATATGGCCACTTGAATTTGGTTGGCTCAGATTGCAGTTTTCACTGCTATATTGTAGTATTTATTCTTTGAAAAAAAAATTTTTTTTAACATAGGATGTTGGAGAACGACGACCGTCAGAAGATTCAGCATCAAAGGGTATAAATATTTCCATCAGTTATTTTACACACTATTTACACTTAATTTTTTTTATGATTGCTATTTTTTTTTTAATATATTTTTTAAATTACCAATTTCTTAATAAAACGATAAAATATTAATACAATTCACTTTGTCCTCATTAATATTTGAAATGAATACAAAATGATTTACATTAATAATCTTGAGTTTAAATTTTTGCAGGACCAAGTGTGAAACATGAGACGAAGAAAGTGAAAATATCACCTGTGACCTCAAAAAAACCGTCCACTGGACAAATCAGGCGAAGTGTTCGGGACTCGCTGGAGGAGATTCTTTTGAAACGGTGTGTGTGAATGTGATTTTTGCTAGATTACCAGTAAAGTTAGTCAATAGCTTTTCCTTAGTTGTTGAAACAAAGCTACCTCTTGTTTAAATTAAGTGTGTAATGTTAAGTTGTTCATACTCTCTTCAGTGTTTATCCTCTTATCTTACAGACTGAAGGAGGCCGATATGAAGATTTCATTGGATAAGCCTGCTGAGTTGGCCAGAAGAACGGAGAAAGAGCTTTTTGCTCTTTTTCAGGGTGTTGACAGCAAATACAAAAATAAATACAGAAGTTTGACTTTCAATCTGAGAGATTCCAAAAATAATGTAAGTAATTTGACATTATTTTTTTGGTAATATGATTGTTTTTCAGTAGCATATGATATAACAACCTTGCAACAATATTGTAAAATACGATTTCATATTTGACAAATATTTCATGTCTCTGTGCAGTATATTTTCAGTTGACCTATTTTCATTTCACTTCTAAAAATCTAATGCAGTGTTAATGAAAATAAATGTTCTTTTGCAGGTGTTATTCAAGCGAGTGCTCAAGGGGGAAGTTTCCCCTGCAGATTTGGTGCGTATGACTGCAGAAGAGCTGGCCTCTAAGGAACTGGCTGCTTGGAGACAAAGAGAGAATCGACATGTTAGTAAAACATAGCTGTGTTGCATTTCTAAAATCTCACAATAAACAACGTAATGCCATTTGCAAAGTGTTTCACTTTAAAAGTGAAAAGTGACGTGACATGTGGCCAAGTATGGTGACCCATACTCGGAATTAGTGCTCTGCATTTATCCCATCCAAAGTGCACACACACAGCAGTGAACACACACCCGGAGCAGTGGGCAGCCATTTATGCTGCGGCGCCCGGGGAGCAGTTGGGGGTTCAGTGCCTTGCTCAAGGGCACCTTAGTCGTGGTATTGAAGGTGGAAGAGAGTGCTGTATATTCACTCCCCCCACCTACCCTGCCGGTACGAGACTCGAACCTGCAACCTTGGGTTACGAGTCCGACTCTCTAACCATTAGGCCACGACTTCCCCAAGACTAACTTCATTAGTAAAGTAAAATACGCAGCAGGAAATGACATTCATTTGTCCATCAGAAAAGTAATTTCATAGTCATTCAGATTTTGACTGTTAACCCTATTGATGTCTTTGCTGGCAGACGATTGAAATGATTGAGAAAGAACAGAGAGAGGCAGAGAGACGTCCTATCACTAAAATCACCCATAAAGGGGAAATTGAAATTGAGAATCAGGAGCCTGCCAAGGCACCAGAGGCCATAGAGGTTGAGGTGAGATTTGGGAGACATTATGCTCCATTCTGTGCAGCTTTGTTATATTTTCCAACAAGGAAAAAGAAAATTGCATACTAAATTTTCCTTCTGTGTTTTCAGCCAGAGCCTGTGCCGAAAGCTGCGGAAGTGCCTGAAGAAAAACCCCCTGAGACTAAAGCTGACAGTCCCAAGAAATCTGTAGATACCACCAACTTGCACAAGTCTCATCTATTTGACCTCAACTGCAAAATCTGCACAGGTAAAACATTTTTATGAGTTCAAATAAAGTTCTGAAAAGGTTTTTTTTTTTTGGTGAAGAATTAAATGGGTTATATCATACTAAACTAAAAAGTATCCTGGGTCTACTTATGTTAGCAAAGCTTTTTTGCTTATAATTAAAGTCTGATAAATTAAGTCCATTAAGAATCTTCCACTTCGCATGTTAAAAAGAAACCTATGTCAAAGTTGCAAAAGTAGTTATTAGTAAAGTTTTCAGAGTTAAAGAATGTGTTTATGGTACAATTAACTTACTTTGATTTTTTGATGTTTCTCTGAAGGTCGCATGGCTCCACCTACAGAGGAAGCTGCTACAAAGATGGTAAAAGTGGCTACAACAGTTGTGAGAAGACAGTCTAGTACGACAGATGAATCTCAGCACTCCACAACTACACCTACATCAGCACTGATAGACGATCTGTGTTTAAGAGCCATGGAGGAAGGTCTCCTCAATTTTTTGCCTGAATCCAGGTAAGATTCCTGATTAAGCATGATTTTCAAGCAATCTCATGTTTAGTAAACGAGACTTTAAATGACATTATGAAATTGTTGCTTTAATAGGTCAGATAGTCTGAGTAGCAAAGAAGACACAGCGACATTCCTCAGCAATTTGGAAAGTCTGTGGAGTGGCTTTGTTGATATGCCAGCTGTGGCGAGGTTTCTAACAAAAGCTTATCCTGTCTCTGGAATACTGGACCAACTTACACAGGTAAATTGGCAGTCAGACATTTTGAAACATCCTAAATGTGTCATTTACACATATGACCTGACGTATTAGAAACATTTTGAATTGTGTCTGCAGGATTTGCCAGACAACATCCAAGTAGGTGGACGAATCTCTCCTCAAATAGTCTGGGATTATGTTGAGAAAATCCGTGCTTCCGGGACAAAGGTGAGAATGATTTATTCTTAGATTTGTCACATTCTGTAAGTGATCATTTGTATGTGCTGTTTGTGACTTTACATTTTTTCCCCTAGGAAATATGTGTTATTCGTTTCTCCCCTGACACCGAGGAAGATGAGATCTCGTATACTTTGTTATACGCCTATTTTAGCAGCCGAAGAAGATACGGTGTTGTCGCCAACAACCGCAAACGAGTTAAAGACATGTATCTCATTCCTCTCGGCTCCACAGAAAAAATTACCCATCAGATTGTACCGTTTGATGGTCCTGGTAAGACTTTCTTTACAGGTTCATTTGTAGGATCCGCATGATTTTTGCAACAAAATCTTGATATTAATTGTGGCACTCCACATTGTAGGGCTGGAGACCAATCGTCCCAATCTTCTTCTCGGATTGGTCATCCGCCAGAGACCGAAAAGAGACTTTGGGGTAATCCTGCCAAGCGATGTCAGGGAAGCTCCAAGTTTCTTGGCAGAAAGCAAACCTCATGTCGATTACCCACAGAAAGCTCCTGCGGCTCAAGACGCAAGCACACGGAAAAAAGACACTGCCGACTTAATCAAGTCCGTCATTGAAGAACCTATATTGGATACTGAGACAGAAGAGAATGTTTCTTTGCGCTTTCTTCCTGGAGTGCTGAAGTTGCCTGGAAATGGGGCATCGTCTTCGAGCGACACTGTGAAAAGTGATTCTACAACAACAGTAACCAAGACTCCAACTGTTGATAGTGGAAACCATGCAGAAATCCATCCTAAACCTACGGCCACCGCTCCTCGACTTGATCGCTTCATTATCAAGAAAAAAGACCCCAAAGCTGTTAAAACAGAGCAGGCGCCATCCAGCTCGAGTTTGGAGACCAACTCAGAAAAGAAAGAGAGTGGAGTCATTCTTTCTCTGAGTGACAAACCTGCAGATGTTTCAACAGAGAGTTTCCTGTCTTCTCTCACGACCGCTAAACCCAAAGATGAGTCCGTGTCCGGCAGCACAGCTGCACCAGCTAGTCAAGAAACAAGCGAAACCACTTTATCGGATGCATTGACAGACTCTGTCAATGACGGCTCTAGCTCTGTCCCCAAAAACGAAACCTTATCAAGTCCCACCAAGTCTTTGAAGACATCTGGTATTTTAAAGACACCATCTTCATCAGCTGAACCTACCGAGTTAAAACCTCAACAACCAGAAAGTAATTCAGAAAAGAAAGTTACTCAGCAACCATCGGTGCAACCCCCTCAAGAGTGTAAAGCCATAGAGGACATCCAAGCCATCACCACAATCTCCTCCACTGGGAAAAACGAAGGTCCCAAGCAGTCCAGGACCTCTTCTTTTAACCCTAAAGTATATAATCCAGCCCCCATTTTTCATTCGTATTATGCTGGTCCACCTGATCCCCAATATTATCCTCCTCCAGCCAATCCTGCCCCTTTCTTACCCCTTCAATCACAGGTTCCTCCGCCTTTCCTGTTTCCTCCTGGTCCACCTCCTCCACAGATGTTCCCTCAAAGCGATCCTCACATGCTTGCTCCACCTTGGCCTCAAACCGTCCCTCCCCAAACGCTCCCTGTGCCTCCTCTGACATATGAGTCCAGCTTGCCGACCTCTTCGCCCCTCAGCAAAGACGAGAAGGGCTTGGAGAAGTCCTACGGTGACTTGGGCGACAAGCCGTCCAGAAGGTCCGATGAGACCTACAGGAAGGACAACAGAGATAGAGACCACTATGACAGACACCATCACAAAAGCAGGCACTACGACAGGGACCGCGAAAAGCACAGGGACAGAAGTCACAGTCATAAAGAGCACCACTCGAAAGAGGACAAGTATGAAAAACGGAGAGAGCGGCACCACAGCAGCAGTCATTACCGGGACAGAGACAAACACAGACGGGATTCTGATTATGAGAAACACAAGAGAGACTCGAGAGACAGGCGTTCGTGATCTTGGCATCAAACCGCTCCACTTTCCTTAAATCTGTCAAACAGTAGAAGAAAACTATTTATAAAGTTGCAAAATGATTTTTATATGGAAAAGCAGCTAGTACGAGATTTTTAGTTGGTGTTTTTTTTGCAATCTAAAGGACATTTGTTTTGTTTTAAAATGTACATTTTCCCTACCTGGCTTTACAAAGACCCACTAACATTGTCTTCACAAGCAGCTGGTTGTAATCAAAAAAATGAAACTACTGTTGTACGCAGTCTCATGGTTGATGAGAACAGCTTCTTTTGCCTCACTTTTTTTTTTTCCGTTTTAATTTTTCTAAAATTGTCTTAGGTATTTTCTATGTTTCAGGTGACAAATATTTCTTTGTTCATTTTGGCTTGTCACACAACAGAAATGTGCATATTCAGCACATTATGTACAGTTCATAATATGTTTTTATTGTTAGTAAAGCGACTGAAATTAAAGTCTTTGTTTCTTAAAGAGACTCATTTTTTATTGTCATGCATTGTAATAAAACACCTGAGATCACAGAAAAAGGTAGTGTTTATTTTACAGTAATGAAAAAGCAATTAAATAAGATTACTTTTGGGGTAGTATATTATTATTATTTTATATTTGATCATTATGGGAAATGGAAGTGTATCAACTATAAGCCACAATTTTTTAAATACAAGTTTGTTTGTTTTTTAACACCACGCACATGGAATATGGTTTAAAACCGTATTTAGACATCCCAAATTTTGCTAATAGGGTAGCAAAAACTGCAAACCTCGTATTTCACAAATGAAAACAGACATTCTGACCCTTTGCTGAAAAAAAGGTTTTAAAGCCATATTTCATACCTTATTTTTGACATTGAGAATAAAATCCTTTACAAGTAGTTAATATATAAATTCAGAAATGTCACCACATTATTTTATTTAAAAGACATTTTTTTTGTTGTGTTGTGTTAGTGCAGAGTAGAAAATTGTCAACAGTTTTTTCCGTGGCATAAACGAGAATAACAAATCTGGACAAATATCAACTGGTAATTCAGTAAGAGGCACAAATATATAACAGTCCTGCTATCGTGTTCATCTCTTAATTTCGTTTCTTCAAACAACACATTTGTGTGGTCATTTTGAGATGATTTTTTGCAGTGTTTTTTGTACCTTTCATAAGCATCTTTAATGCAGGATCATTCCTATCACCTTGCAACATCATTTTACCATGCCAGTGATAAACAACAGATTTCACCTCTTAAAAACGGGCATTGAGCATGTATTTGTGAAAAAAATCTAGACGTGAATACCTAAAATCAAATATCAAGATATCAACAATAATCAGTCATTTTTTCTACTCTTCACCTTGATAGAAATTAAAACCTTCACTGGCTTGTAGAAACTCCAGCTCTCTGATGTCCTGATACAAGAAAACATCTTTAATACTCCCATCAAACCTTTTAGTAAATACACTAGACGTAACTGATGCCACATCTCTTTTCAATTCAAAACCCCCTAAATAAATCACTCCTCCATAATTTACCGCTACATACCGTTCAAAGGGGTCAGTATCTTCAAAAATGACTCTTTCCTCATTCACATAGACCTGGATGAGAGTCCAGTTGTGAGTAATAGACAGGTAATTCCAGTGATTACAGCAGAAAGTGTTTTGATGCACAAGAGGAAGAGCGGTTCTCTCA